CAGTTGCAAGGTGGGAAGAAGTAAAACGAGGATTTGAAGTAGGTTACACTGACTTTGGAACCCATACTCTTGGCCACTGTGAGGAACAGTGTTGCCTCGCTTCACCCTGAAGTTCACACTTCTTTAGAAGCCAGCATTTAACTGCAGTCTGGTACCCTCACCAAAAACATAGAAAGCAATTTGGGAGCCACTTAAATCTTCCAGCAGACTGCAAACATTTCCTCAGTCATCCTTTACTCTTAAGATCCCCACAATGATGTCACTGGTGGTAAACAATAGATCCTTGAACAAGGGTAGTGCCAGGGCTGAGGGCTGGATTTCCCTACTTGGCCACTTAGCCCAGTGGCTTCTAGGCCAGGCATATTCTGTCTTAGCTCCTGAGCCAGTGCTCACCTTGAAAGTCCAGCCAGATTGATGGAACCAGAGATGCTCACACTAACTCCAGTAAAGAGCCAAAAACTACGTAGAGACTGTTTTAGTTTACTACAGTGGTGGGGAGGGGTGTCATTAGGCTGCAGTGAAATAATCATTGTTTCCCGGAACAGAAAAAATAGTCAGTTCTCCAGCAATTCAAGTAAGTTCATTGGCAAAGAGGCCTTATGGATTGAGGACGGCCATGAAGACAAGTGGCAATGCTTCATCTACTCCCTATGCAGGCCTTTTCCAAACCATTTTAACATGTCTCCCTCTGAATCTCGGAAGGTGGCCAGAGAAGGGGAAAAGGCAGAATATCATGGACAAAGTTTTGACATCTTTGAAGACAACTATACAAAGGGTTGGTACCGAAGTAGAGGGTCAGGAGGAGACATTTTCTCTAACCAGTTGATGATTGGCTGTCCTTCTGTCTCCAGGAGCTCACAATGTATAAAACATTCTTATCCTGAGCAGGTCAAGTTTCAAAGAAATCTACTTGTGTTGAAGGCAAGAGAGAGAGGCTGATTTTTATTTTGCATTGGCATATCATTTGTTTTAGGCGCCAATAAAAAGCGGAATCACTTTGAGTATTCCAAAATGCCGTGAATGTTCTAGAGGAGGATGGTGGAAAATGCTCAGTGCTCATAGATGCACCTCAAGCATCCGGACGACGTGAAGCAGCTCCAAATTAATAATTAAGATGCAATAATTCAGACCTGCTTGGCAGAAAATGCCAAGAACGCCAACAAATTTAACCTTGAACTTCAGCCGTTTTGTAAGCAAGTGTTCTGTGAGGTTTCATTTCATTTTCATACAGTTTGAGGATGGTATTTCTATTTCAGAGGGCAGCCGAGTAAATGATCAACCACAACAACTTGTTTTGACCAAATGAGTCAACTCTGCAATAAACAATCTGGCAGCTTTTTTTTTTTTTTTTTTTTTTTAGTTAAGGGGATTTTTTTAAAGCACAGCAACATTTTCCCTGCTTTTATGAAACGCTGCCCTATGTTTCCAGGCAGAAAAGCAAAAACTTTCAAAGGGTCATGTGATGTCATTTCAGTAATGTAGAAATAAGAAGAAAACAACAAGCAAAAAGGATGTATCTGATAGCAATCTTTGGCAGCATGTCTTAAAGCAGAATGTATAAATATGCATACATATATATGTACTGTTAAAAGGATTTCACCTGAAAACTTGGTAGCTATAATTCCTTAATAAAGACCACTTGCTTATCAAGGGCTAGATTAGTCTCTGAGCTGGTTTATACAGGAAATCTAATGCTGTTCCATTATAAGAGCCACTATCAGTATCCTCCTTGAGCACAAGTATGGGCAGATGTAGTAAGAGGCAAACAAAACCTTTTCCTTATCCCAGGCCAAGAGAGTCAGTGCACACAAACACAGACTGGAATGCTAATGTGCTTCCATAAGGCTCTGGGGGAGAATACACCCCATTTCCCCAAAGGAGTATAGTTCATCCCACAGTGGGGACACTGACTTCTTCTGGTTTCTATACAGCAATGGTTGTCGACTGGGGGTGATTTTCTCCCCAGGGGAGTTTTGGTAATATCTGGAGATACTTTTGTTTCTTATACTGGGATCCCCTGCAGCACCAAATAAACAAAGCAGATCATAGCAGCATCACAAAGACTCAGGAAATTAAATTGTCATTGGAACCATAGCCTACAAAAGTCAGGCCAGGACTTGTGTGCTAAACCTAAACAGGAGGACTGATTGCTAAAATAAAAAATTTAAATAGGACTCAGAGCCTCTTAAGATAATCATCACAACGTCTAGGATATAACTGAAAATCACTGGCCATACTGAGAACTAGGAAAAGCACAACTTGAATGAAAAAAGACAATCAATTGACATCAACACAGAAATGAATCAGATATTGGAATTATCTGACAAAGATTTTAAGGCAGTTATTATAAAAATGCTTTAATGAACAATCACAAATTCTCTTGAAACAAATGAAAAATAGAAAATATCAACAAAGAAACACAAGTTATAAAAAAGAACAAAATTGAAATTATAGAACTGAAAGATACAATAACAAAAATTAAAAAGTTCACTGGATGGGATCAATAGTAGAGTGGACATAACAGAGGATAGAATCAATGAACTTCAGGTCTGATCAATAGAATTTACTCAATATGAAAAAATTGAGAGAAAATAAATGAAAAAAAAAATAAACAGAACCTCAGGGAACTGAGGGACAATAACAAAAGATCCAAAATTCATATCATTGGAGTCCCAGAAGGAGAGGAGAAAAAGAGTTGGATTGAAGGAGTATTCAAAAAGTCATGGCTGGAAATTTCTCCAATTTGGTGAAAGATGTAAATCTACAGATTTAAGAAACTGAACAATCTCCAAATGTAATAAGACAAAAGAAATCTGTGCCACAAAACATTATAATTAAACTTCTGAAAACTAAATACAAAGTCTTCAAAGCAACTAGAGAGAAATGACACATTTACCATAAGGGAACACAAACTCAAATGAAAGCACATTTCTTATCTGAAACCACGGAGGCCAGAAGATAGTTGCACAACATCTTTCAAGGGCTCAAAGGAAAGAACTGTCAACAGTGAATTCTATATCTTGCAAAACTATTCTTCAGGAATGAAAGGGAATTAAAGACATTCGCAGATGAAGGAAAACCTGAACAATTTTGTTGCTAGCAGACTTACCCTTAAAAAATGGATAAAGGAAGTAATTCAAACTGAAAGACAATGATAAAAGAAGGAAACTTGAAGCATCAGAAGGGCTGAAAGAGCAATGTGAAGAGCAGAAATATGGTACATATAATAAACCAACACTTCTCATGAGTTTTATAAATCATATTTAATGAATAGAACAAAAATTATGACACCATCTGATGCTCAAGACTATAATATTTAAAAGTGAGAAAAGTAAAGGGACTAAAATGGAAGTAAAGAGTTGACACTTCTTTTGAAGTGGTAAAATGTTAATGCCAATAGATTGTAATAAGTCACATATGTATATTATCACACCCAGAGCAACCAGTAAGAAAACCATACAAAGAGATGCACTCAAAAACATTATTATTAAGTCAAAATGAAATCCTAAAAAGTGTTCAATTAACACACAGGAAGGCAAGAAAGGAGGAACAGAGGTACAAGAAACAGAGGAAACAAAGAGAAAACAAATAATTACATGGAAGACTTAAGCCCTAACATATCGACAGCTAATTTAAATGTAAATGGTCTAAATACACCAATTAAAAGGCAGAGATTGGCACAGTGGGTTAAAAAAAACAAAACAAAACAGAACCCATCTATGCTGTTTGTAAGAAACTCACTTTAATTTCAACAAAATAGGTAGATTGACAGTAAAAGAATTGCAAAATATATACCAAGTAAGCACTGATTTAAAAAATAAGGGATAGCAATATTAATATCAGATAAGGTAGACTTTGAGGAAAAAAAACTTACTAGAGACAGAGAGACATTACACAATGATAAAAAGATTAATCACAGGGCCAGCCCCGTGGCGTAGTGGCTAAGTTCAACGCACTCCACTTCGGTGGCCTAGATTTGGTTCCTGGGCACAGACTTACACCACTCATTTGTGGCCATGCTGTGGCAGTGACCCACATACAAAATAGAGGAAGATTGGTATAGATGTTAGCTCAGGGTGAATCTTCCTCAGCAAGGAAAAAAAATGAAGAAGACTAATCACCAGGAAGATGTAGCAATCCTAAAGATGTATGTACCAAACAACAGAGTCTCAAATATATAAAGCAAAAACTGATAAAGTTGAAAGGAGAAATAGGCTAATCCATAATTATTGTTAGGGACTTCAACACTCCCCTTTCAGCAAATGATATAATTACTAGATAGAAAATCAGCAAATCAAAGTGCAGTTTATGTACATGAGTATATATGACTCATACATATTTCTATACAGACTGCTAAAAGAATATAACCAGAGCTTAACTGCTGATCTTGTGGTGAATTTCCTAGGAAAGCAGGGATTCACATGAGGATTTCAAAAGACTGAAACTGGAATGTGCTGATTAATCAACACTGAATATGTTTCTTAACTTTGCTGATTAATTCAGGATATAAAAGTCTATCTGAAATATCTGAGTTCTCTTATGAGAAAACTTACGCATTTCTGGTTAACATGGTGTTAGCAAAACATGTGAAATCTGACACAGAGTCTAAAAAAGGCATTCCTAGGTTGATAGTTTCTTTTTAATAACTTCGTCAGACCTCATATAATCAAGTGACACTCAAACTAATTCAAGCACGAGAAATTCAAATGAAAACTCTAGAACTTGGGTACAAAACAAAGCAATGTAAGAAACAGTGAAAACTTTCTGGCCTTATTGTTAAGAGACTTGTGTTCTGGTCATTGCTCCCTCATTAATAGCTGTGTGATTTGGGGCAAGTCCCTTAACCTCTCTGAGCTTTAATTTTCTCATCCGAAAGATGAAGAAGTTGAACCAACTGACCTCAAAGGGTTCTTTCCTGCTGTCAACTTTTAAAACAATGTGAGTCAATTTCATGCTTGTAAACAGGAAGAGTTCTTTGGCTTCCCAGCTGAAAATGCACCTTCAAAACTACCGACAGAGAACTCTGCTCCTCTGTGTGAGTCTGAGAAGATCAGCACAGCACACTGCATTCCACTGTGAAAGCAAAGCTGAAGATCAAAGGGTAAGACAGATCTGAATCAGATTTCCTGATGCAACAGGTAAAGTGGTGGGCCAGGAAAGTTCTCATAGACTAAAAAATATAGGTTCCAGTGCTTTTAGAGTTGGCTTGGTTTGGTGGCTGAAAACTCACACATGTTCTTACCCAGCGGACTTCAGATGGGGGCCTTCAATGAATGTTCTAGTTTTTAAAAAGCAAGGCAGCACAGTGACCTCTGAGAAGAACAAGTCCTCTTAGATGTGGTATAAATAACCCAATGGGTGAAATGCTTCATTCTAATTCAGTTCCAAGCCACGTGTACAGCAAAGGGATAAGGGCTCCTAGTGATGCAAAGTCCATTGGAAAGAAGATCCTAGTCTCCATGCACCTTGGCTTCGACTGGGTATCACACACACATTAATTATTTGCAGAATCACCAACACTTTACTGGGGAGAGGTTCTTTAGAAGACAGTGAGTGTGATAGCATTCAGAGGCAGCAGGGGTCCTAGGGAGATACAAACAGCACTGGGTGATGAGGATAGTACTAATCAGGAACCCAAGGGTTAGAGACCCCCTAGGTAGATATTAAGAACACCACAATATGGTAATTGGTCCTTGCAAACAAATCTTTATTAGCATCTAGAATTTACCTGCTACCATGAATAGTGTTGAGGGTCCAGATGTGTATCAGACATCTCTGGAGGAGCTCACAGGGTGAATGGCTGCATCATATAGAGTTTCAGCTGGAAAAGACAGCCCAGTCAGCTGGAAGATTAATGAGGGGACTGTTTACCGAAGGGTGGACAATGCCAAGAGAGCCTAGAAGGGCTGTGGAGGTATCTATCAGCTTTAAAGGCAATAAGCCATCTCAAAACGGCTCTGTGCAGGTTGACAGGGTAAGTGAAATTCAGATAAGTCAACATGTCTTGTCTTGAAGCTTAAAATGATTGGCAACTATTAGTTTGTTTAGCACCGGCAGCTAGAGGGGCCTTTTCTTTGTAAATGAAACTACACTCCCTCAGCCTTTTCACTATAACCTCAAGAATTCCGAGCTCTGCCATCCCTCTTTCCTTCTCACCACGTGCTACCTGCAGCCATCATTGTGGAGGGTCTTCCAGCACTTTCCACTGTGGTTAGCTCAATGTTACATGTGGGGGTGGGTGTGTATCTGTGTGGGCTCAGGGCTTCCTTTCAGTGTCTTCAGAGGGCAGTGCTGGTCAATTGCTCCTTTAGCCCATCAAATGTCCTGGCTTTAGGAAGCAAGACAGTCACCACTCCAGATTCCCTAGGCCCCATTTCACACTCTAGGGAGCTAACCCTAATGACGCTGATAGCTGACCAGCCCAAGGTCACTCAGTAGACTCAAGCCCAGCTTTGAGTCCCTGTTCTTTGTACTTCATCACTCTGTGACTGGCAAAAGGAATGAGTTATTATCTCTGCCAGGCAAAAGCGTTATCTCTGCTGGTGGCCATGACTACTTTGCTCAGAAAGATTACTTTAATCCTTATCTTCTCCTACATGATGTCTGGAGTTTCCCATGATTTACTCAATGCATTCATTTTTAACTCAATCTTCTGTATATTTAGAATGACAGAATAATGTGCAGGATAATTTAGGCTCCATTAGTATGTTACGCATACCCTATTATAGCACTTATCATATCGTGCTGTAATTTTTTGCTTACATATCTGTCTCTGCCACTGACTGTGGGTTCCTCCAGGGCTTAGGCTATGCCTTACTTATCTTAATATCCTACCTCCTCCCCATAACCCAGCAGCTGAAAAACATGAACATAGTAGGTTTTTAAAGAATGAGCTAGCTTTATAGTAAGGCTCAGTAGACACGTGCCTGGTATGCCCATATTTGTTTATCCAGCATACATTTATTAAGTTCTTACTGTGTGTCCAGCACTATGCCAAGCTCTAGGGACCCAAACACAGCATCTCTGAACCCTGGGAGATAATGGCTCATAAAAAAGATTAATTCCCGAAGTTGGCCCCATGGTGTAGTGGTTAAGTTCACGCACTCTGCTTTGGTTCACTGGTTCAGATCCCAGGCGTGGACCTACGCACTGTTTACTAAGCCATGCTGTGGCAGGCATCCCACATATAAAAGAGAGAGAGATGGGCACGGATGTTAGCTCAGGGCCAATCTTCCTCAAAAAAAAAAAAAGATTAATTCCTGATTGCTATAGTCTAAATGTGTTTCACCAAAATTCATGTGTTGTAATCCTAATCCCCAAAGTGACGGTATTATGAGGTTGGGCCTTAGAGAAGTGATTAGATCATGAGGGCAGAGCTGTCATGAATGGGGTTAGTGCCCTTACAAAGGAGGCCTCACAGACACCGAGATCCCTTGCCACTTCCCACATGTGATGACACAGCAAGGAGACAAGTATCTCAGAAATGGGTTCTCACCAGACAGGAGGCTAGTGCCTTGGACTTCCCAGGCCTCGGGACTGTGAGAAATAAGTTTCTGTTGTTTATAAGCTACCCAGTCTATGGTATTTTCGTTATAGCACCCTGAATGGACTAAGACACTAGTCATGAATTTGCAGAGGCACAGGGTATTAAGGAAGACTAGAGGGGGCTATTTAGTATGCTTTGGCTAAGAAGAGGTTCAGGGAGGGGTTTCTAGAGAAGGAAACTGATAAACTGCATTTTAGAGGATGGTCATGAGATAACCAGTCACAGACATTTTGAGAGGAAGCCATCAGGGAGAGGAGACAATAGGAGTAAAGGCCCTGGACATGACATAGCCGAGTGGGGTTGGAAAAGTCTGCCAATTTGGTGTTGTTGGAGGAACATGAAGTATGAGGCTGGAGAGAGTACCAAAGCCATACGGAATGGGCAGTTTATTAAAAGTTATACAAGTTGGTGGCCAGCCGGGTGGCACAGTGGTTAAGTGCGCACATTCCACTTTGGCGGCCTGGGTTCGCCCGTCTTGATCCCGGGGGTGGACCTATGCACCACTCGTCAAGCCACGCTGTGGTAGGTGTCCCACATATAAAGTAGAGGAAGATGGGCACAGATGTTGGCTCAAGGCCAGTCTTCCTCAGAAAAAGGAGGAGGATTGGCAGCACATGTTAACTCAGGGCTAATCTTCCTCAAAAAAAAAAAAAGTTCTGGGACTTGGATGTTATCCTATAGGTGATATTGACACAGTAAAGGGACTTAAGCCGGGGAGGGATGTAGTAAGACTGGCATTTTGGATAGAATCACTCCCTGACCTTCAGAAGAACAGAGTTGGGGGATAAGACTAAAATCAGAAAAACCAATTAGAAGGCAGTTGCTTTGGTAGTGGGAAGAGATGAGGACGACTTGAACTAGGTCAGCTGTAGAAGGGATGGAAAGAAGAGAACTGATTTGAGCTTGATCTGAGAGATGCACTTGGCGAGATTTGGTGATTAATTGGATTTGGGGAGTAAGGGAGAGAGAAGAGACAAGGGGAGACTCCCAGGTGGGTGATAAGGCCATCCTCACAAGACAGAGGACGGAGAAGAAAGGTCAGGCTTCGGGGAAGTTGAGTTCACTTTAGACGTCTTGAGTTCGAGATGCATCTGACTCATTCAGGACATGTCCAAGAAGTTTTTGAAGATACGCTTGAGGCTTGATGGGGATGCAGAGAGGGCCAGGACTAGAGGTATACAATTTATGGTCATAAACTGGAAAGTAGTGCAGAAACCATGCTAGTGGGCAGAATAACTAGAGCGAGGATGTCGTGTGAGATGGGCACTTGCTTGGCCGGCTCCCTGAGACACACCAACACATAAGGAGCTGGCGGATGAAGAGGAGCTTACAAAAGAGACTGAAAGGGACATTCAGAGCACGTTGGAAGTGTTGGGAGGACCAGCCTTCCTCACACGTGGCTTCCTCAGGGCCAGCTTCCTGACCTCCTGACCACCGCAAGTCTTGTACTGTTATCCCCTGTAATAAGTCCTCTGTGCTTATCCTTCACAGAAGCTCCCATAATTATAAATTAACTACTGATTGTGTTATTAGTTAATGTCTGTATCCCCTGCTAGAACATAAGCTCCCCGAGGGCAGGGATTAGATCTCTCTTATTCCCCAGGGAATCCCCAGAGCCTAGCAAGGGCCTGGCAATTAGTAGCTGCTCAATAAGTATTTGTGAAATTAAAGAATGGTGTTCTAAACCCCCAAAGGGTAGAGAGTTTCAAGAAATGTCACTTTTAATAGTCAAGTTACCTGTATAATGTCCAGTTCAAAGTGTAAAATATATTTATTTTATATTTTTACTATTTCCTACGTAAAAAATTTAAATTTCTGTCAGTTTTTTATTTTTAGTCAGTGAATAACCCTCTGTCACTTCTTCTGGATATGACATGAGGCCTCCAAATACTTGGAGAATAGAGAAAGACAGGCTAACAGCAGAAGTAGTATGTGTAGTTTGCAACATTTTGTAGCTATGTGGTGATACTGTCACTGTTCCCCAAAGCTCTGTGTGATGTCAGAGCTCCTGGGAGACAGATGGCCAAAGTGCTCCATGAAAATTTCCTTGGCTATTCAAACAGGGATACAAATTATGATGTGAATACGATCTACAATGGACAGCTCCTTAAGCAATATTTTTGCAGAAAATTTTGTAAGAAAATATAATGAATTAAGAAATTGCATATTTTCTGTATACAAACCCTCATATACATATATCATGTTATCATTTATTAAAATGCTAACAAATTGGATTGCAATATCAAATGTTGAAACTCTTACAAATAAATTTAAGTAATTGTATCAATATTTATAAAAGGCCTCATCTGTGGGCATTGAGGCTAACACAGGCAAAAATAATCTAGGTATTAAAAGGCCAGTCTTCAGGTTCGGACACACAAACTTCAGCGATTTGGGTCTTTGTCTTACTCTCCTTTTCCTTCTTGCCTTAAATCCTTACCCATCTGCAGACTTCTGCTTGAGATGTTTGTATAAAGGGATAAAACCCCTAAATCTATAATGATGTTTACCATGAACATGCCCTGGGAAAGATAGCACAATAACTCATATGTGCACCAACTTCCAAAACATATCTGATCATTTCCTGAGAGAATTTTCCATGGGAGAGGGAGAGGAATAAAGGGGTTCAAAAGAGAGTGAAGAAATATTGTGAAGGGAGTCTGACAGGTGCAGAGTAAATGCTGTTTCTTTGAGGTCAGGCACACTGGTTAGAGTTCAGACTGCAGCTCTGCCTTTTATTAGTTTTTGAATCCTTCCTTTTAGCAGCCCAGGCTTCGTTTTCCTCATCTGGAAGTGAGGATCATAATAATACTTACTTCATAGTGGTGTTTAGAGAATTAAGTGAATTAATATGTGTAAAGCACTTGAAACAATGCCTGTCACCTAGTAAGTACTGTGAGAGTATTAGCTGCTGTTTGTTATTTGCAGTTTTAACCTAGGCTGTGGAGTTGCATACAGATTTTTATGTCACCTGTTTCCTAGATCACCCTCTCTTTTGGGAATGGTTACAATGCAGACCCTTTATTGCTGGCTCAGGTTTGCTCTCCTCCCATCTACAGTTCCTAATATTTGGGATCCGCTGACTCTTAGAAGGTGAGTTTGTTTATGTTTCGTTTCCGTGTATAACCTGCAGTCCTTTCTCCCAATCCTTGTAAGTCCTGGTTAAATTCTCAAATAACACCAACTACAGACTTACATAGCTGCATCAGGAGCATTTTCCTTAGGGAATTGCTCAGAACCCTCTTAGTCAGTTGCCCAGGGAAACAAGCTGGTGATGTCACAAGATGTCACACTTCCAGTTTTCTCTTGGGTCCCTCTGCTGAGCCTGAGGCCACGCAGAGTTTCACAAACTCTGCCTAGCCTAAGCCTCCTCTCATCCTCCCTGAGGCAATGAAGACATCCTCACTCTGTCCCAGCAGTGTCTAAACTCAGGTATGTCGGAGTCGTGGCCTGTACATACTTCTTCCTATGCTTCTTTGACCAGAGACCTCTTGATATGTTTCTTCCCTCCCAGGGCATAGAAACACCTATGCAAATGGAGTATCTGGGACAGCCCTGGGTAACTTTCAGTTCTCCAGAGTATAGACACAAAACTGGAAAAATAAAACCCTTGGAGCTGCTTCCTGGAGGATCAAAAGTTGTTTCAGGTTTTATAGGGCCTCGGAGACCTTAGGAGCGAGACTACGACATGCTTTCCTTTCCCTTTCTCCTTATCTCCCCCCATGCCCTAAATGTGCCCGCAATCTCTCCCTCCTGGATTACCAACCTGCTTCTCATTCTCTCAAGAGACATTATTTCACTTCCTTGTTCTGCCCAAATGAAAGGAAAGAAAAGAGAGTATAGCCATGGTGGTATTTCGTTAGAGTTTATTGGTATTTTATAGTAAGCCACTGAACCATGCCCCTGCGCCAGAGGAATAGTGCAAAGTGGAGCTCTTGCATTACTCCCTGCTCTCTTCCAAGCCTAAGTAATACAATTATGTGAATCTGTAGATCAGCTGCTGTTACCTGAGGGAGAGCAACTGAAAACAAGCAACGTTTTGTCTCCCACGCTTATTAGGAAAGGACCTGTGAGAGAAGTAAACTTCAGCCCTGTTGAAACTCTCAATCCCAGAGGGGTGTGTTTTACAGCTCTCTGCCCTGCCAGAGGACTTCAGGCGTGACCCGCAGAAGGATTCCAGAGGGACAGACTCTACTGGAGACATTCTGGCTCCCTGGTCAGAGCTAGCCATGGAGAGGACTTCTACGTGCATATACCACTTCCTTGTTTTGAGCTGGTATATTTTCCTCATTTACTACATCTCACAAACAAGGAATCCACAAATATCCACAATCCTTGCAAATGGCAGACAGTGGAAGTACTTGACATTCCTTAATCTGGTAAGTCTATATGGCCATACCAAAAGCAACCTATTTGTCTATAATCTAGGTGCTTCTACACATATCACCTTTTGATTTTATTAAATACAAAATCCTATTATTTTTCTTCATTCCTTATTGTTTGTGAGTTTTGGCTTTCTCTTTTACATGACAATTTGCTCTGAGGAACCCCTTTTGGGAGTTCTCCTTAGCTACATTTCGTGCTGGCTAATTGTTAAACGCCCTTTTGAAAAGAATCGTATCTTGAATCTCTTCTCAGATGAGCCCATATAGGGGACTAGGTTAATGGTTTCACCATGGCAATGACTACAAATGCAGGAGGGATTCTGAACTTTGCCTGGGGAAGTCTGTGAGGGAACGCAGAGTGGCGTATGTTGTGTAGGAAGTGCGATTTCCAATGAAGGAATAATGTCATTTGACAGCACACACAGACTAACAGATTTAGCTAAGAAAAGCAAATACATTTTGCCATGTTCATATCTCACTTCAATTTGTTGTAGGCTCAGGCTCCATCTTAAAGGACAAATCACTCAACCAAACGGCAAATCCACATTTTCAACTATTTACAAACCAATCATGAGATTTGATCCCTTCTTGCCTTCCTAGCCTGGCTGACCACATTCTGATGAATGAAGTGTGAATGAATGGGAGGAAAACAGATTTTTTAAAAATGTTTTGGGAACGTGTAAAAATATTTTTAGAATTAAAAGTTAAAAATGGCACATCTTTTGGGGATGCTAATTACTGTTTGAGATTTTTAACTAAACTATAGGGTGCCATGTAAACATCTGATTTCAGAAACTGGACAATAACTCCAATCCTTTGGAATCACAATCCAAAGCAGAGGTTATGCATGGTTAGAAAAAGTGACACTCTGAAGTGCTAAGGAGAGGAAATTCAGAAAGTCCAAATCAAAGAGGCCTGGAGGTTCTATTTCCTCCTCTCTGCTCATCTGCTGGCCTTTGACTTGGGTGTGAAAGATTTGAGTCCTGAACACAGCTCTAGTATGCTTGAAAATATCAAGGTGACTGCTTGTTTCAAGCATAGAATTTTATGAAAAAAAAAAAAAAACCCAGAAAACAATAACATAAAATGCATTTGTGGAACTAAAATAATACAGTAAAAATCTCAGCTCTGTGTATCTATTGGCTTTATATTAAAAATGGCCAACTAAAAGAGAGGGGTGTCTGTAGCCAGGATTGGTGGCCTAAGCGAATCCAGATTCCAGTATGGACGTCCCACCTCACACTAGGCATGGCTCTGAACAGACTTATCACCTACTCCCGCAGACCAGCTCTCTGATTTCTTAATTCCAGCTTGGTTACAGGCCTCAGAGCCCTCATAATTCCAAGAATGGAAAAAGACACTTAGCTTGTCAAAGAAACTATTATTTCCTGGTGATAATCCCCTTTTTGCTTCCCTGACTAATCAGCCACCAAATCCTACATTTTTCTTTTGCTAGGTTCATTCCTTCTTCCCTAGTCTTACTTCCCCCCTCATATGGGGTCTTATTAGTTTGTATGTGGATGGCTAGATCATCTCTTCATTGTCTCTCATTATCGATCCATCCATCTACCACTCAGATTGCAGATTAATCTTCTCAAAGCACTATTTTTGGTTTGGTTTTGTTTTAAACATCATGAGCCTGCTTGAGAAGTGTAGTCTGCTACTCCAGAAACTACAGCGGCCCTGTCCTACTTTACGGAACCGATTCCAAACTCTTGATCTAAGAACTCACTTGCCTACTCAGCCATCAGGTTCCCCTCTCCCCAGGAAGGCTGGTCTCTTCTCCAGGAAGGCCTGTGTCTTCTCCAGTGTTGGCCGCTAGGCTTCTTGCTGGCACTGCTCTACCCATATTCACATTCTCCTTGAATGAAAGGGCTACCTGCCTCTCCATCATTTTGCTGCTTTTGTAGATCTCCTGAAATCCCATCTTCTCCTTAAAACCTCTGCTGATCAACTCCAACCCAGATTTGTTTTTCCTTTCCTTGAGTTTTCACAGCATCTCTCAGTCTCTGCCTATTCATGGATAGTATTATTTTCTAATTTCCATCCACATGTGAGTCTTAACACTCCAATCAAATTATAAATGGCTCCAAAACAGGAATTTTGTCCCCTAGGTCTTTGCCAGCCCTAACATTCTATGATTCTGCATTGTATTTGAGACCATGGCTGGCACAGAGCACTCCCATAGTGAAAATTGGGTGACTTGGTATGTTGACTGGACTTGACTTCAGGCTTTTCTGCATTTCTGAGCTATATAGCCTCTTCTGACATCTTCTGACCCTTGAAATGAGCAGAGAGGGGCCTACCTGTGGCTATTTCCTTTCTGTGCTCTGTTAGGTGTCATCTTGAAAATGTGACAATGCAAAGTTTTCCAGTTGGCTAAGATGAGTTGAATATGTTTCAGAGGATCAATTTAAAGATAGATTTCAAATATGTTACTTAAGGTGAAGTGTTGGGCCTTAAAATTTCTAGCTCTTGAGGTCTCGTGACCTGATTCATGGTTGTGCTTCCTAATGATTAGTTAATGTTAACTAATGATTAATTAGTTAATGGTTGTGCTTGTAAAGTCATAGAAGTCTCATAACTTGCTATAACACTCAAACTTGTTTTGTATAAGTTTGTTGAAGTCACTAGCCAATCCTGCTTTCCAGGAAATTTATACCTCTCCCCTTTAAACAGCCATAGTTTCTACTTGGCTCAATATTAGTTACGCCACCTTTCAAGAGCAAAGTCCACCTTAGTGCAAGTCTGCATTCTGAGCATGCCCCATTGCTTCCTGAAGCTATCTCAGGGGGTTCAAAGGGAAGACACATAGGATTGGTGGTAGGGGGGTGGGGTAGGATGGGGTATAGTGGGGTACCACTGAGAATCGGTCATGGTAACCAATCCCTGCCTAGTCCCTGAGGAGAGTAAAGGAAAGAGAGGGGAGATGTGCATTTCTGCCTGATGAGGGAGTAAACTGACCCCAGGGAAGATGCAGCCAATTGTCTGTGGGGAAGGAGAGGCAATATGGCCCTAGTGGTTACAAGCATGAGCTCTAGTGTCATGAGCTCTCTGCGGTGGTATCTCAGTTCCACCAGCTACTGGCTCTGTGACCCTGGGCTAAGTATTTCTTTGTGTCTTCCATTTCCAAATCTGTCAAATAGAAATAAAAATAGTGCATAACAACAGAATGATCATGAGGGATAAATAACCTGACATGTGGGAAGCACTCAAAATGATATACACGGCGGACAATGGAAAGAGAAGATGAGAGACTCGTGGTGAGCTTCTCGTCATCTCATCTTTGACTAGAGGTGGTGCGGAGGGGAGGGTGATTTCATGGGACATCAGTCCCCTCACTAAGCACCACAGTTGGTGGGTCATGGATCCAGGCAAGAGTCACCCACCCATCTCATTGCTCAAGGATCTCCCTCCACAGACTGCATGCTCCAGCTTCCCAGCCAGAGAAGGGCCACTGTGGAGCTATTGCTTTCCCCGCTATAGCTGCCCAGGTGGATGCCACTGGGCAGCCCTGGAGGTAGAGTGTGTGGGCTTAAGCAGAGGGCAGAGAGTCATGCTAAATGGGGAGATCCCCAAAGCTGGGCATTGAGACAAAGCAGTGCTGTGGATAGCTCAGGCTTCCAGTGCCTGGGTCCTCCACAAATATTGTGTCCTCTCCTCTCCATCCACTCCACTTCCATCCAGGGACTGTCCCTGGCCCCAGGGAATGCAAGCTGGGGTAGGGGGGATGGAGGGGACTTTCAGCTACAATTTGGCTTGCAGAATTTATACGGTTTGCTGGGTTTTCCTGTTTTTAAAAATAAACTTCCTTCTGAAACATTGGTAGAGGTGGTGCCACATAACTGGGATCTCCAAGGGAGATTCTGGGTGGGCCCCTCCCTATTTCCCCCACGCCACTTCAGCAGCAGAGGCATGACCTTTCCCTTCCCTCTTCACAAAGTTGCCCAAGCTTCAGGCAGCTCTGACCTCATTAGCCTCGAGCTCTTGCAATGACAACAGCAATTTCATTAGATAGGTCCTCAGAGATGGCAAAGCAGGGCAAGGGGAACAGAGATTCTAGAGGACGGTCCATTGGTCCAAACTCCAAGGCAGCCTGTGAACAGTGAGAAGGTAGGGATCCATCTATGTTACAGCACCCACTTCAATACTTGGGGCCAACCTTTCATTTCCATCACCAAATTAATATACTGATTTGTGGAACTCAAGCTCAACAGAGTCAGAAATACACTTGTCTATTCTACAAAAATGCCTAAGGAACTGTTTTTAGCTTTCAGATAGCTGACAGGATGAGGGTTCATAGAAGGGAATAGTCACCACCAGTGACCCAAATAAAATAGCTGTAATTTATTGAGCAACCATGACAGCATTTTGGTAGGTTCTTTATACACAGTATAGAGATTAGTGATGGAAGGCCTAGCTTCTGGACCTAGCTTCTGCCTGAGTGTGAGTGCTGGCTCTGCTACTCACTCACTGTGTGATCTTGAGTGAGTTACTTAACTTCTCTATGCCTCAGTTTCCTCATATGTGGTGGATTCTGTGGTGTGGCACCCAGATACCCTCGCCTCCCCAGCATCGAGGTACTCCTTCCCCACCTCCTGGGAGAAGGAGTGTTGGTTGCTGATGACCCACAGCTGAGCTCCTGCCCCAGAACTGCCCTCAGCAGAAGAGAGCTGCCTAGACAAAGAGTTAGGTCCCTCCCTGGGGTTGCTGCAGCCAGTGACTGGTTGATTTGAGGTGCAAAGGCTGGGCTCCAGAACAACTCTGAAGGGCCAGCCCAGCTCCAGAGCTCCTTCAGGGATCAGCTGATTCCACGTAACTGTGTTGCCTTTCAGCTCTTCCTGCTCCCTGCCGCCTTCCCTCCCTCCCCCTCACAGGGGTTCCTCAATGAACACTCAGCAGGCAGAGCTCAGAGTCTCAGATTCTGTTTCCCAAGGAGCCTGACCTACATAATGTAAACTAGTAAATGTACAGAAAGGATTCCTCCTCCTCTTCCTTCTTCCTAATAAAGACATATTAACATAGCGCCTGCCCTGGCCTGTATTATGTCTAATACAATTTCTGGCACCTAACAGGCACGCTGTGAATAGGGAACCCCATCCTCCCTGCAAGACAGTCTACCCCACAGCCATCCTCCTGCTACACTGAAGCCGGCTGTCATCAGCTACACAACATTGGCCAAGCATTCTTATAAATCTTCTTTCCAACCCGTCCCTCAGTGTTCTTGGCTTCTTCTCTTTTATTCTCATCATTCCAGCTGGTGTTCTTTCTGTCATTTCTTCTCCTGTGTCCTTTATCTCATTCTTTTATCTCAGTTTCTTGCTTAAGCGAAATGCACATGAATGATGGTAGAAATAGTATATTGCATATGAATACAGATATATTTGGCAATGGCTGCCTCTGCTTGCCACCGCCCTCGCCACCACGGTTATATAAAATACTCATCACAATTAGTCCCCACTTGCTGTTTTATTCTGGAATAGTCTCCCACTGTAAGTATTGCATCATTTTGGAGGCAAGACCTAAGAAAGTCCCAGACTGTGTGAGTCAGGCCCTGAGCGATGAGCTGGGCACTGACTCATCAAATAAGAGTTGTAAGGTCTTGCTCAGGAAACTTGCGGAATCTCCCTCTTTGGAATTATTTCTTAAATAGAAGAAATTCTCATTTCCTGGGATAATTTAAGAGGGCTCTGGCTCGAACGCAAAGAAATACACTTGATGACTTAGAAAGGCTAAGTTTCCGTGCTTCCAGCATTTTTGTGAATTTTATGAAGACACACGAATGTAAAAGCTAAATGTCCTTTAACGATGGTTTCTTAAATTGCTCTAGTTATAAAAAAATGTAAATTCCACTCTCCCAGGTGGTAAGTTTGCCAGCTAGCAACAAAAATCGAAGATAGCTCACAAACTTAGATCAGCAGCATTTCAGAAAAAGGCGCAAAAGAGCGAACAGAACTAAGGAAGAACTGGGAGAAAAGATAAACCAGAGAGTGGCAGCTCTGAAGTAAACCCTGACCAAGAAGATCTCATTAGCTCTGCTTTTCTGGGCTGCTAAAATAGTTGAGAAATGTAAACGACAGTAATTTTATTTTAAGTCTCTTAAAAGAAGGCCGGTTGTTGCTGTCTTATTTTAATGCTACTGTATTGGTCTGCCATGGCTGCCATAACAAAGTGCCAAACACTGAGTGGCTTAAACAGCAGAATTTATTTCCTCACGGTTCTGGAGGCTAACAGCCTGAGATCAAGGTGTCGGCAGGGCTGGTTTCTCCTGAGGCCTCTCTCCTTGGCTTGTAGACGGCCACCTCCTCCCTGCGTCCTCACATGGTCTTCCCTCTGTGTGGGTCTATGTCCTGCTCTCCTCTTCTTGTAAGGAGCCCAGTCTTATTGCCTTAGGGCCCAGCGTACCCTCTGACCTCGTTTTAACTTAATTACTTCTTTAAAGACCCTCTCTCCAAATTAAGTCTCATTCTGCGGTCCTGAGGGTTATAACTTCAGCATATGAATTTGGGGGGACACAATTCTGTCCATAGCAGCTACCATGGTCTCCCTTGACTGTTCTTTCTGCATATGTTTTATAAACCCTTCATTGTATTGTCTCTAGAGAACGAGCAGACTGTGGTGGGGTTTGGGGAGCTGACCCGAACCTGTCCGAGAGGCTCTCCAGGAAGTCTCCCCCTTGAGTGAGCTTGTGGCGCCTCCCTCTCCTTGCCCTCCAGCTCCGCTGCGTGCCTCCTCTATGCCCTAGTTCTTGCCTATTAATTTCTCTTGGCAACACCCTAGCGCCTCCCCCTTGAGCTCCTATGTGGACTCCATAAATATTCTTTGTTAATACAGAGGATAGCATGTCAATGTGGATTAAGATCTATGGAGACAAGGCTTCCTCGTGCCCACAGTGGGCACGTTTACAATGTGAAATATGCCTGTGAGATAAGATGTGAGCTGAGTGTGGAGGGGGGAAGGCGATTGGTAAGTTTGTTGGGTGGAGCAAATTTTTACTGATGAAGGTGAAGCCACGGAGGCTCTGAGTAATGTGTTCTTTTCCCCAATCCAATTTCCACATTCTGTGACTGGGAAAGGCAAGAGAAAGTCAGGATGAGCTTGACTCATGATGACTCTAAGAAGCTCTCACTAAGGAAAGTGGTCACATGGACTTCACAGGCTGGGTGGAGGGGGCCTCTCCCCAAAGAGGGAAAACCTGGCAGACACTCACTTCTCAGTATGTGATTAATTGCTGTGTTGATAGAACAGTGTAGGCCTCCTCACCCAGGGCCCAGGCCCTGTGCCTGCCCTTCCTAGCAAAAGCAGCTGCCTGCTATGGGCTGAGCAGCTGGAAGTGAAACCAGGGGTGAGATGAGAGCTGCTGTGGGGGAGGGCGAAAGGGGGAGGAGGTTACTTCTTCTAACGTCATGTGCAAAAAGACGGCACTCCGAATGCTACAGCCCTTGGGGCTGAATGTCGAAAGCAGACGCCAAGCATTGGGGTGGCAACCTCTTCATGACATTTAAAACTGTTTCCCACGCCTCCCTGGAACCCCACTTCTGGCTCAAAGCTTCCTCCTCCCTTCACGGACCAGGGGGTTCTTGCACATTCCCGGTTTTCTATCATCTGGTCAATCTTTGCTACTTTGCTGTCCCCTTTCCCCCTCCCATCTCTCCCCTCTCTCCTCTCTCTCTCTCCAGCATCTCCTCCCACAGGAAGGTTGGCTCCCTGGATCTCCACAGCCCCTCCTCTCTCTTGAGAAGCCCAGGTCTGATTTCCAAAAGGAACTTCCTCTAGGCAAGTGTTCTCAACCTTAGCTGCCCTGATTAGAATCAAGTGCGAGAGTGTTTAAAATCCTGAAACCTAGGCAGCACCCCCAGACCCATTAAATTGCAATCTCTGGGGGAGTGGAAATGACGCAGCAGTATTTTTGAAGTCATTTTGAATTCTCCCACCTGGAGATAATTGTCTGCCTTCTGACCTCCCATGGTGCTTTATCCGAACTATTGTTAGAAACTTGCTTTTTTTAAAAGTCTGGCTCAAGAACAAGACTCTGGGCTTCAAATCCTGGCCTAGATGTTTACTGACCATGAGACTTTTGGCAAGTTTGTTCATCATTCTGTGCCTCAGTTTCTTCATCTGTAAAATGGGTTGGGAGTGAACACAATAATAGGCTGTACCTCCTAAGGTTGTTGTGAGAAATTAAAAGCCTAGATCAGTGCCTGGCATGTAACAAGAGATCAATAAAAGTCAGCTGTTATAGCTTTGAGTAGTCGGTAAGATTTTAAAGTGATAAATTTATGTCTAATCCATGGGTTCTAGAATTTTAGCATATATAAAGATCACCTGGAGAGTTTGTTAAAAAACAAGTTCCTGGACCCCATTCCCAGAGATTCTATTCCATAGTCTAATTCCATAGGAGTGGGGCCAAGGTCCTACATTTCTAACAGGTTTTCTAAGGATGCTATGCTGCTGGTCTGGGGACCCAACTGGGAGTATTGCTGGCCTAACCCACATCTGTGTCCTCTCCCACCCACTCCTTCAGCCCAAATAATAGCATGGGGACGACTCTGCTAGGGCTTTCCTAGAGTTCAGACACCAGAGATATTCCCCAACACCAGACTTGATCATCATTAGTCCAGCACCCCAGGTTCCAGAACTTGCCTGACTCATTCTCTCAGAGCAGAGTCCAGACTGCCCCTTTTGTACCAATCCAGAACTTTCAAGGAATAGGATGGATTCTGATGCAAGCATAACTCAAAACCAACCCCAACTCTGTATTGTTGTGATCCACTAGGCCTTAAATTAGAAGCCACAGGTTTGTTCAAAACAGTGAAAATGGGCAAAGTCTGCTTTCGTTTGCTCTTACTTCCTTGAATAAGGCCCTGCTTCTCTTTGCCTGGCCTCGGGGACCTCATGGTACTTAGTGACACACTAGAACCCCTGACTTGCGCTATCCCTGTGGATTTAAATCACTCCCTCAGCCAGATCTTCTTTGGCACTCCCTTTTAACGAGGGAAGAACACTGGCTTCTCCCTCAGATGAGCAAGACGCCATTTTGTGCATCTCGGGAGCACAGAGGTCCTTTCTTGGTGCTCTTGACCCCTATTCTGGCTTCTCTAATGAGATTTCAATTCTACGCATTTTTAAAATTTTTCTTCCTAGGAAGAGGCCAGAATACGTCCACCATTGTGTCTGGCTCTTTGCCTTTGTGCTGTTTATTTGGTTTTACCCACCTCTGTGCAGCCAGAGTATCTGTCTCATTACGTTCTCTTTTTAAGCTGACTCTTTATTTTGTTTCCATTTTAGCTCAAGTCCATTACACTAAATACTGTACACATTATTATCCCTTAAACGACTTTACTCAATCGGTTTTAGCGAGCAAGGTCAGGGCCCAGTGAGCTGGAAGACCAGCCCTTGAATTGGCTCTCAACCAAAACAGCCACCAGCCCCTCCTTTTCAAATCACTATTGCTCCAGAGGGATGGAGCTTTACGTCAGTGAAGAATGTATTAATTAAAGCAAATGAAAATGCCCTCTTTTGTTGTAATGAATTTAGGTCTTGCAGGCCATTTTCTACGGGGTCGCCTTCCTGGAAGATGTGCTGAAAAGAATTAAAGAGAAAAAAGATGTTAAGTTCATAACTGCCTTCAAGGACCTGCTTTTCACCACACTGGCTTTTCCGGTATCCACAGTAAGTTACAAAGATGTGTGTGTAATAGAATATATGTGTACATATGGACGAATACTTCTTCTGGGTAGCAAGGCTGTTTGGGAGCCATTATTGTAATCCAGAGCAACTGCAACTGCATAAATGTCCTGTCTGAGGACTGCACCACATGGCCAGGGGCTTCGGGAAATAGGGCGCATTCTGACCAGAATTATCACTAACTTTTGCATCTTTGTGAGTGTTTGATACAAGATCCTTATTGCTGTCAAATGGGCAAGTTTTAAAGGACCCTTTTTAATCAAAATACAACTTAGAAACCTTGGTTCCATCAGAGTGATGGGATTGGAGGGTGCTGGAGTGGGAGACGACTAATTTTCCTTTTTATACATCTTGTTTCACTTGCTACAATAAGCATATGTTACTTCTACAAGTGGGAACCATTAAAAAAAAAAGGTATGAGAACCTTCAAAGTTAGCACATGGAAAAGACAATTGAGGAGAGAGAGACAGTCTGTCTAAAATACCTGTGTGGGGCACACAGTGAGCACCTCATCCATTACAGAGAATGAATGGACATTGGGAAGAAGTGAGACATGTAAGCTTGTTTGCTGACAAGGTCTGCATTTCTATGACATTGTGCATGTTTTCATTCAGTAGTTAGAATGGAAGCAAACTGAGATCAAGCACACAGGCCGCCCAGCAGGGCCTATAATTAGAAATGACTACCTCCTTCTACCTGTCATTGTCCTGCTTCCTTTGGTATTGAGACTTCAAACTGAAGTGCAAAATGAAACTCTGCAAACACTGATGAGTTCTCAGATATCAGAGCAAGTAGTGGCATTTCAGTTTTACTTTTCAGGACACCTCCTCATCCACCTCCATAGATCTAAGGGCCAAGATTTTTTTTAATAACAATGGAGTTTATTCTTTTTTTTTTAAGGCTTAGAAAAGGAACCTTTGGAATTTAAGATGAGAGGAAGATTGGAAGATTAATAGTTTTTTTTCCCATCTCAACATTGACTTTGTAAGGTAGAAGACAGACACTGAAAAGATAGCCAAGGGTATAAGAGGAGGAGGACCAACCCAAAGCTCTGAGCAATGGAGAGATCCAACTCTCAGTTAAGTAGCTTGTGAACTAACTCTCCTGGGAGCTTATCACTTCTCTTCCCCAGCGTTCCTGCTCCCATTGTCATGCTTAATTAGAGGGTGGGCAAGGAAAGTGTCAGACTCAAGCTACTCCATGGGGCTGCTCTGGCGCACTCCTGGTGAAAGCTTAGAGAGAAGTCACTGGTTAGAACGAAATGACTTACTGGTCTATGAATCCCGTTTATCTATGTCCTCTCTGCCCACCACAATGACAAATAATTGATCTCTATCTCTCGAGAATCCCTAGAGAGAGTGGATATAGCAATTCAACAATAAGAAACTTTTTTCTTTATGTTAAATTTCTATAATGTATATGAAGATATCATTAAATTTGGTATCTGTTTTTATTTTGCTATGTTTCCTTGGTTATCTTAGAAAGCTCTGATTGAAAACAAACTTAAAAATGTTATTTTTGTGTTTTATTTTCCAGTTTGTATTTTTGTTGTTCTGGATCCTCTTTCTCTATAATAGAGAACTCATTTACCCTAAGTTCCTGGATGTTATCTTTCCAGCGTGGCTGAATCATGCGATGGTGAGTGAGGGGAAAATTCAGTAGATATAGAAAGGCAATAGCCTCTGTCCTGAGAACTCCAAGATGCCTCATTAGTGTTTCCAAACTTCTCAACCTCCAACATCCCGATCAGTCCCCCCTCTCCATCTTGTCACTATTTATTTAAAGAGCACAATGTGGATACAAAATGAACGAAAACTGGTATGGTAGTTGGAGTCACTGAGAGCAGAGGGGATGTCCAGGCAAGACTCTTTGCCAAGTTGCTTATGAAGTCATTGAAAAGGCACGTAGCCATAAGGGCAGGCAACTTCTTGGTGGCTGCGGTCCTGAAAGAGAAGCAACTTCAGCAAATAACATGTAATAAAATTCTGATCTAGAGACGGGATCAAGCAAGCTTTAAAAAAATCCACACCAACATCCAAACAGCATCTTACAACTCAGCAGCAGTTTCTTAGCTAACACTTGGTAAGTACTATTCACCACAAACGCAATTGTTACTTATGTATTTCTATGAATACATTCCCCTTTGATTTTTTTATTCATGCACTTCTTTTTGAGGGGCTGAACAGCAAACAGAACCTATTCTGAGATATTTAGGTCACTGGTATCTGAGTGCCAGTAACAGTGACCTGGACAAGTGGAGCTGGAGCAAGTCGTCCAGATCTTGGATGGAGGAGGAGTTCTGAGTCATTAGCTCTGCACGCACAAAGTAATTGTTCAAAGTTCAGCTCAGTTTCTCAATACTTACAACTGCATTTCCACATCACTCAGGAGTTCAGAAGGAGGTATCAGATTCTGTGAAGCAAATGGCATTAAAAAAAACAGGGGGAAACTGGTTACCAGGGAAGGAGTAGCATATCAAGGCTCCCCAAGTTCACAGACTTTCTTCAACTCCTAATCCTAACATTGTCTTAAAACTCACATGATTACCAATTTGGAAAAGCAACCCAGTCCATCAACTCTCGCCTTCACATGTTCCTCTCACCCCCCAAAAAAATGTACTTTCACTTTAAATATGTGCTCAGTGAGATACTGATCATGAACTGACTAGGATACACAAGTTCTGATCTAACTTAGAGTTCAGGACCAAAACTATGTATTAAATAAGTCTGCCTCTCAGGGACTCCTTCTACCACCCTCTTTTTTGTCAGAACACCTCCTCGTCTTCCCAATTTCCATTAACAGTAATTTGAGACACCCAAGTAGAGAACATTCCTGACATTTTATGGCACTTTACACTGTACTAAGGCTGTTCCTCAAATAAAATATGAACTCATTTAATTCACACAACTTTTTTTAGATAACAACTATAAACCTGATTTTTACAAGTTAAAAAAAGAAAACACTCAGAGAGGTTAAGTGATTTGCCCAGGGCCAACGAGCTCATAAGTGGGACAGCTGGATTCAAATACAAGGCTAATTCACTTTTGTTGATGTTTACTACAGTAGGTGCAGAATTTATGGTTTGATCTGATTTCTAGTTCACCAGGCAATGAAAAGGATGTCACTTTGCTTGATTAACATAGCAAAGTGAGAATTCTCACTTAAAAAAATAAAATCCAGAATCCCCATCTGGATGCTAAGAAGCCAAAACTCAACTTAAGAAAGTGAAGTGATTTGGGACAGCTCACTGAGCTAGACGTTACTAAAATAAAAAGGCAGAGTATTGAAAGTGTCTTTTATTTGGAGCCAAACACGTTATATCAAACACCTTTTCAAGGCTTTGTGAGCTCATCTAGTAGTTTTCCTATAATTATTACAAACTTCCTACCTCTTTGGGATTCCATTTTCCACATAGAAGTAAATTGAGTTTCTTCCAAATAGTTGCGCTGGTGATGCCAGCATTTGTGACCTTGCTAAACAGCCATATGGATTTTGGTTAATTTTGGAAGCAGATAGCTGGATAATGTACATCACATCCATGATCTAGTTAGTAAGGCAGATACTATCCAACAGAGATCCTAAATATTTTTGTGCCTTCACACTCTAGGGTTTCCTTTGATCCTGTTTCTTGTGCTTTGGTCAATCAAGCAACCTGAATCCCTTAGAGAGAAGGGGCTAGGATCAAAGAAGGTGGGACAATGATGACAAAGAGAGAAGAGAAGGATTTAACCTGCCTTGGGTCAGACACAGACTCTTCTGTGGTGCTATCAGCTTAATTGGAGGAACTCCCAACAGAGCCATTTCTAGGGAAAATGTTGGCATCCACAAAGCCAGCATTGGGTGTCCCTAATGTGATTACTCCCAAAACTCCCATGCTTCCTTTTGGTGTTTGCTCCAAATCCAGTGTCCTCATGACTACCTCTCATCCCTCTCTTCCAGACTGTGTCCCTCACTCTGGACATTTTCTGTCCTCGCTATTAAATCCTCCTGGTCGATTGCCTCAAGGAAGGCTCCCTGATAACTTCTTAAATACTGGTGTAAATGAATATGGAAATAGCTGCTACCAGGTCAATTTGTTAACACTCACCATGTTTTAACAGTGTCCTTCCAGGACAACCCAAAAAAGTGAATATACCCCAAATCCATCACTTTGGCCTCCTGAGTGATGATGGACAGTCCTCACTAGTTGGCTCCCTGTGGGGCTGGCTCTAAAAGGAAGTCACTCCCTGTTCTGCTCCTTTTTCTTTTCCACAATATGAGAATTCTTGCTGTAACTAGCCAGTGTCATGCATTCCTGAAAGGTTCTTTCATTTCACAACAGTCCTTCTGTTTGCTATTCTAGTCTTAGCTTTGGAATATTTTCCCTGTGGTCATTTGTGAAGGTGCCCCGGGTTTTATGAGCAGTATTTGTCAAGTTAAGAAATATCACTCTCCCCTTTGACACAGTGTGGTTCTAAGACTTCATGATTCATCCAGCCTTTGGAATTCTCTCAGCCCAACCCTTCTAGCTCATTGTCATTGCCGTAGGAACACTCAAAGCTGACTATCATCTCTAATAGATGTTTTTCTACCCTTGTTTTGTATCCAAACCGACTAGTAACGTCAATGAGATATTTACATCGACCATGGACAGGCTGTCGTTAGCTAGTGCCCTAGGAACTCCCATTTGAGCCAGGCTGCCTTATTTAAAGTAGATCAGCCCAACTGTTTTATTACTAAGCAGTTCTCCAGTCTTCATGAAAGAAGGGAAAAAAACAGCAAAGTATTCCTCCAGGTTTTGCAAGAAAAACATCAGCTCCTCAGGTCTTATCTAAGTGATTACTAAAGATAGAACCAGAGCAGACAGGTTTAAATAGCAGGAAGAGGATCCAGTAACTGAGGAAACTATCACATCCTAACCTGTAGGGAGCTGGGGAAGTTATTTCTCTGGAAATCAACCTAAATCGTTTAGGTTACCCCAAAAGAGAGGTGAAATAGATCAGAGAACTCCCTCAGAGCCCCTCTACATTTGAAAACAGTACATGATTATCTAGAGAGTGCGTGTAAGCACTTTATAAACTATCAAGGACTGCATAAATATGCTATTATCATGTAAAACTCTAATGCGTGATCACAGGGTTTTAGAACTGAAAAGTCTTCGTTGATATTAATGGAGATTTTAGAACAATCTGCTCATAAGAGAGAGGCCTTATCTTGGCTCTTTACATTGGAGCAAACACCAAATACAGCTACTTAGTTACTTATTGTGTTGTCATTCATTCACTTGGAAAAATAATTATAAAGTACCATGAAGTACCTGCTACATGTGTAACACCATGATCGATATTTGAGAAGGGTTTTGACTTCTAGCGCTCTTAAATCCAATTTAGCCTAGTATATACACCCACATAGTTGAAATAATAAAATAACAGTTAATACTAATACAAGACATTGACATAGGTGGTGTCATGAAGTGGCGTGTGTCATTACTGCCAAATGAGCGACATGGATAAGAGGGCTTCTATGTCCTCTGTGTCCTGCTTTGGCTGTGACTGACATGTGGGTCATGACTGAACAACCTAGAAGGCCTTTGAGCCCTCTATGGTGCGCCGGGGAGTCAAAATGTCAAAGAAGTACAACTCTAAACCTTCCAGTTTCTTCCTCACTCACAGCATGCAAGATATTGGCTATCACTAAATTCAGACCCAAGCTCAGATTATTCTCTCCCACCCATAAGCTTGGTGTGAAATTGTTGGGCCGCTAAGTAGAGGTAGGTAAGTCCTGATGAGGAAGGAAGGCCAGCTGTGGGCACATCAGCACCAGATGGCTGCCCTTTGTCCTCAAACATTACACATCCCTCCCCCATGCCTTCCTGGTTCCTCACCCCACCCTTCCTCTGAGCAGAGGAGACCCACAATCTAGATAGCTCTGAATAGCTTAGTGGTTTTCAACCTTTAGGAAACAGGGCACTTTGTGAATCTGAGGAAACCTATGGATGTTTGCCCAAGGAGAACACAAATACCCACAAATTTTGTGTACAATGTTAGAAGGTTTATGGACCCTCAAAATTCCACTTATGGGCCTCAGGTTAAGATCTCCTGATATAACTGAGCATATACTTGAAAACAGGGCCCCAGGTGATTTCTCATGCTGACTTCAAATCAAAAGACAAAATCAAGCATTATTCATTTTTAAAAAGTTATTATTATGTGCTTAATGCTGTTTTATTCTCTATGGCATGACAAGAGAAATATGAGATATGGTTCCTAACATCAAGAAGCATAAATTATAGATACTATATATCTAATCTTTTATATATACAAAAAGATATATAGATCATATATGTATATCGTCATACATCGCTTAACGACAGGAATATGTTCTGAGGAGTGCATCATTAGGCAATTTTGTCATTGTGTGAACATCATAGCCTGCACTTACACAAACCTAGAAGGTATAGCCTACTACACACCTAGGCTGTGTGACATTAATCTTATGGGACCTCTGTTGTATATGCAGTTCACTGTTGACCAAAACGTCACTATGTGGCACATAACTGCGTCTGTGTACATATATTTATATTGGTGTGTGTATGCATATACATACATCAGCCTTTTAACTTGCTAAAAACAGAGGCTGTGTTCGGCAGCATCTTTGGG